CTGTTGGAAAGTTGTTACATAATACCCAGGTACCTCTGAGGCCCATGGGCCTCTTGTTTCTATTTTGAAGAGATTTTGGATTTTACAAGAATCCCTTTAGAGGTTTTGCATTACCATATTTATTATATTGTGAAAGAATTTCTGTATCAATGCTGCCGTTGGTGCACATCTCATTGAGATCAAAAATCCAAAAGTGGAAAAATGGCTTGATCTGCAGTTTAAAATACAAGGTACATTTAATTATCTTTTGAAATATATTTGTCTACTATTTGACAAATGTTTCAATGATATATTTTTATCACATTTGTGTCATTTAGGTTTTCAATTTGCATGGATTGGACTGACGGATATACTCAAGGAAAATGAGTTTGTCTCAATCTTCACTGGACGTAAACCGACGTGTACAAATTGGGCCAAAAACGAACCCAACAATGGTGGAATTAATAGAAATGAACACTGTGCTGAGAAGTATCCAGGATCGGCATGGAATGATATACGCTGTGATGCGAAACTCCCTATAATCCCTTGAATACTTGTATCTCGTGACTTGTGGATAATGCTTTAGTTTAGCAATCATATACTAGTAATTAGGGATAGTAATCGAATACAGAATTGCTAATCGGTCAACCGGAAGACGTTCCAACCGATTAACCGGTAAACTGTATCAAAATACACATTTTCTTGATGTACATAACTATTTTTTCCAAAGTAGATCTATTCATAAATACATGATTGATAAAAACTAGATGTTAACAGGGCCGAGTCTAATCATTTCTACCCTAGGTATTTCGATAATTTTCGCAAATTAATTTTTACTGTTTTATTCATTGTTTAAAGATAAAAAAAAATCGAATACTTACCACCCTGATTTTTTTTTTTTTGGGGGGGGGGGGTCATCTCAAATGTTCTCAAATTTTACTATTGGGCCCTATGGGAATTTCAGATAATTTTTGTATTTCTATCCAAGAGATTTCTTCTTCAGTCAAGTAGATCATAGTTTTTGAAAAAAGTCACCAAATTGTGAAATTGACAATCTAGATTGGTCTGTGTCTTAATTACAAAGTTTATTTTTTCGATGCGCAATACCTCTAAAATTGACAAACTGTGGTATAAATACATATTAGTGAGGATTAATTATTCATGCAGATATTATTTTTGGTAAAAAGTGGCAATATTTAGATTGTTGATATTCTGTCATCAGTATTTTGGAAAGGTGTACTGTTGCACTTATGACTGTGTGAAATTAAAAAGCTCCGCAAAAGTCATGCGCATTCGAATTAGACAGCCTTGTTGAATCATTGTATTTGTCTTGATTTTTGCTTTAAGAAAAACATGAGTTTACATATTTTATTTTAGTTTAATAAAGACAGGGAAAATTAAGAAAACGACGAATCATATTCAGTTGAGAAATCATCGAAAATTTTTCAGTGTAGATTTCAAATACATTCATTCTACGTTGTCACAATAATCAAAACTATAAGTCTGAAATAAATTGCTTAAATTTAAAAGTTTGTTGAGTTATTCATTCGATTGTTAACTTAAAAAAAAAACCAAACATACTAATTAGTAGATCTCAACAGTGATTAAATAGTCATTAAAGAAAAGCTAGACAGTGAGGGTAACGACGTGTTGTTTTAATAGTAATTCAGTCTTGAAACATAAAGTGACCAATTACCCTACAATCCCCAATCCGCAGAACCATAATTACATCCAAGTCAGCTTGTAAATAATGTGTTGGTAAGCATTAATTCTCATGAAATATATATTTGGTACACTAATAACTCTACAGCTCGTTCCTACAGCAATATTTAGGTAATAGATTGTTTTACTTACAAACGAAAAAAAAGAAATAAAAAATGTTTTAGAAACTTGTGCTGCAGCCATTTATGTGCAAAACTTTACCTTCGAACATTATAATAGACCGTCACGTGAATAACTAATTCCTTTAATATCACAACATTTGAAACATGTATGCAGTTATAAGATCCCTTTGTGCAAAATGTCTGTATTCAATTTCACAGTCTACACATTGATTTCAATACCAAGCTGGAAATTTAAGGATATGTTTGTTATGTATTTTAATGCTTTGTGTAGCCTTGGATAGCTTCACACTGCGTTGTAAATTTGTTGACAATAATTGAGGAGAACCATGAGGAAAAAAATAGTCATCTCCGGAATGTTCGTTTTTCACTCTGTGACTTCTCAGTAATCAGTGTATACATATACTTAAATTTATTCTCTTTAATATATATGTACATTTGTCTGTCAATTACAATGCAAGATAAGAAATCTTTTAGCATCCTAAAAATTATCATTTTAACAAACATTCACATATAATTAAGAAAGGTTCTTGCCTGTTAATACTGTATAATATCAAATGAAGTAAGGAGGGATAAGGACATTTTTAAAAGCTGGAATTAAATGGAATGGAATACATTTTTAAAAGATATATAAATTCTTTGCGGTAAAATTCTATATATTGCATAAAATCTACTTCAATACTATTTTCGGACCGGAATCGGGTTGTTCTATTCAAACCAAAATGCCAAATTTATTTTGAGTATTGATTTGAAATAACCGTTGTGTAATAGATATTAAATGACATCAACACCAGGCGTAGGATCAGACTTTTATTAAGTGCGTAGTTTAACTAACTGCGTAAAAATAATCAATCACTGAAATAGAAAAAAAAGTTTAGAGAATGGCGACCATTTGGATAGTGTGTTTCTTTTCTTGCTTGTTCTTTACAAGTTCGCTTTATACAGATTTGAACAAAAATGAATGGGATAGTGATCAAATGTATATGCATGAACAAATCCTTAAATTACAGCTGGAGGTAGAGCAATTACGGGAGGATAACAAGCAAATACGCCAGGATAACAAAGAAATCAGAGAGCTATTGACAAAAACAAAGAATATCAGTCGTTCGTGTAAGTATTATTAAGATATCTATTGTCAATCGGGAGGCTTTGCACGAGTTGGCATTTTGATTATGTTGCGAAACATTTGATTTTTTTCTTCTGAACCTAAAAATAATGTGTAATAGATCTAAATATTTTTTGTAGTTTTAAAAGGGATTTCCATACCATGTTAAAAGAATGTTGATAAACGTTAAAATCGAAAAATATATTAAATCCTTATTGTCTTAAATATACATATATCAATCATTTGTTCTTTTTAATTTCTTAAAGGTAATGGAACTCCCTTTGATTGTTCGGACATTTACAAGAATGGCGAAAGGAAGACGGGAATTTACACGATATACCCATTTGGTAAAAACAGCCATGGCGTCTCCGTGCTTTGCAGAATGGATTCCCATTTAGGAGTTAGAACGGTAAAATACAGCACATAGAGGAAGTAGCATGATAAAATACAAAAAGAAACCCAAAAATATACTTAAATAAAAAATAAAGTACAATGCTAATTTCTTTATTATTCAGTTAAAAAAAAATAAAATAAAAAAAAGCAATATTACGTGTGTCTTAAATCAATATGTTTAATGCCAAATGTACATATGCATCAAAAAATTATAATAATGTAAATTCAAATGTATTCATAAATAAACCACAAAACATAAAATCTCATATGTATTCTTTGACCTTTATTTTGTAAATTGAAATAATTATTCTTTATCCATACGAAATGAAATGCTGCTTGTATATCAAACCATTTCATTACTAATACTGTAAACGTATAACATTTGGCTGTGCATTCCTTTTCGCGCCTTTTGCAGAAAGAAACGTCCGCTAATTCATGTCTTGCACATATACCCGTGTATACAAAAATTAATAAATGCGCTAATTCAAAGCTTAGCTGACCTTTTCAAAAATCAATTTCCGCTAAATATAGTACACGCCAAATATAATACATTTGCAGTATCACAATTATATTGAAACCACAAAAACGTTACGCTACAAAGCTGTTGTATAATCAGGAAAGTATTCATAACTAGTGGATGCAATCTTAAATAAATCGTTATGATATTTAACAGAACTCAGTGTATTCTAAAGCATACTAAGGTATTTATCGTCCTAAGGCATAATACCTAATGTAGCCTAAAATATAAGTAACATAGAGTATTGTAAAAAATGGGTTCCTAAAGTATCTTATTAAACGTCTTGTTGTTTAAATATTAAAACACGCTTCTCCTGAATCATTAAAAAATAAAGACTTACTCTATCTAGAGAATCATAATCACCATCTAAAATATCATAGGATATTTAATGTACCCTAGTACCTAAAGGTGTATAAAATGAAAAAAAATGGTGGAGATAACGAAAACTGATTTATCTCAAAAAAGAATTCAAAAAAAAAAAATCAAATATGTAAAGGGACCATAAAACACTCACACCCGGAAAATTCATAGTTGGAATTAGATACCTAAGAGGAGTAAGTTATCCTGTTCTGACTGGTCACACAGGTACTGAGTGTGTACTGTGTGTAATAAATGATGTTTTACTCTAAGTGTATGCTAAACCCTTTAAAGTGTATAGTGTGTCTGCTCTGCAACATGTATCCATTTATTATCATAAGATATACATGTATCACTGACTTATTCAAATCAAATAGAAATATAATGAGTTTAATGCAACCAGAAAACGTAATAAATATAACGTAAAGTTATCAGCAAGTTATATACTGTTACAGAAACCAATGATTTCTTTTTACTTGTAGCATAACGTTTATTAAAAAATAGTAATAAAATAAATGGAACGTTTTGAGTTTGTTTATAATCAAACAAACAAAACTTGGCACTGAGTAAATTATCAAAGTATGGTCTTATTACATCAATAAAGGAACCAATAGATTATAACTGTTTTATCTTTGAATAACAGTAACATTAAAACCCAAATGTAGAAATTTTCGTCAAACTATTCTAAAATATGTTCATTAGTTCATTACGTATCAGAAGTAAAAAAAAAAAATGCTTATCAATTATTCCAAATGGGTACACTGGTGTAGTTTTGTATACACTGTGCATGTAACTTTCCGTGCCCAATGGTACATGTTTGTTTATTATTTTAATGTCTCAGGAATGATATTGCACTCACTGGAAATGTCTTTATTATTTCATATGTGACATTTGTAAATAGAAGTTAAATAATTTTTTTTTTTGAATGTTTTTTAAATTTTTTTAAACCAGAAATAACAACACAATTACACAATTATTTTTTAACAAAGTATACTCCATTCCTATGATACCGGTTGTTCTACGATACCGGAGTTTTTCTATTTCCATCTCTAGTGTGCAAAAAACGACACCAGGATGTCGGCTATTTTAAGACAAGTGATACCCCTGCTGTCAAGCATTATCTAATTTATTCATAAAATGTTACGTTTTTAGCTCACCTGAGCCGAAGGCTCAAGTGAGCTTTTCTGATCAAAATTTGTCCGTCGTCTGTCGTTGTCGTTGGCGTTGTCGTCGTTGTCGTTGTCGTTGGCGTTGTCGTTGTCGTAAACTTTTCACATTTTCATCTTCTTCTCAAGAACCACTGGGCCAATTTCAACCAAACTTGGCACAAAGTATCCCTAGGTGAAGGGGATTCAAGATTGTTCAAATGAAGGGCCACGCCCTCTTCAAGGGGAGATAATTATGAATTAGTGAAAAATTAATAGCATTTTTAAAAAATCTTCTTCTCAAGAACCACTGGGCCAGGAAAGATGAAACTCATGTGGAATCATCCTCAGGTAGTGTAGATTCAAGTTTGTTCAAATCATGACCCCCGGGGCTAGGGTGGGGCCAAAATGGCCGACCAAAGTTTTACATAGGAATATATAGGAAAAATATGTAAAAATCTTCTTCTTAATAACCACTGGGCCAGGAAAGATGAAACCCATGTGGAATCATCCTCAGGTAGTGTAGATTCAAGTTTGTTCAAATCATGACCCCCGGGGCTAGGGTGGGGCCAAAATGGCCGACCAAAGTTTTACATAGGAATATATAGGAAAAATCTTTAAATATCTTCTTCTTAAGAACCACTGGGCCAGGAAAGATGAAACTTGTGTGGAATCATCCTCAGGTAGTGTAGATTCAAGTTTGTTCAAATCATGACCCCCGGGGCTAGGGTGGGGCCAAAATGGCCGACCAAAGTTTTACATAGGAATATATAGGAAAAATCTTTAAAAATCTTCTTCTTAAGAACCACTGGGCCAGGAAAGATGAAACTTGTGTGGAATCATCCTCAGGTAGTGTAGATTCAAGTTTGTTCAAATCATGACCCCCGGGGCTAGGGTGGGGCCAAAATGGCCGACCAAAGTTTTACATAGGAATATATAGGAAAAATCTTTAAAAATCTTCTTCTTAAGAACCACTGGGCCAGGAAAGATGAAACTCATGTGGAATCATCCTCAGGTAGTGTACATTCAAGTTTGTTCAAATCATGACCCCCGGGGCTAAGGTGGGGCATAAATGGCCGACTAAAGTTTTACATAGGAATATATAGGAAAAATCTTTAAATATCTTCTTCTCAAGATCCACCGGGCCTCAAAAGCTGAAACTCATGTGGAATCATCCTGGGGTAGTGTAGATTCAAGTTTGTTCAAATCATGACCCCCGGGGCTAGGGTTGGGCCAAAATGGCGACCAAAGTTTTACATAGGAATATATAGGAAAAATCTTTTAAAAATCTTCTTCTCAAGAATTACTGGAATTGGAAAAATGAAACTCATGTGGAATCATCCTCAGGTAGTGTAGATTCAAGTTGTTCAAATCATGACCCGGGGCTAGGGTGGGGCAAAAATGGCCGACCAAAGTTTTACATAGGAATATATAGGAAAAATCTTTTAAAAATCTTCTTCTTAAGAATCATTGAGAAAGGAAATATGAAACTTAAATGAAATTATCCTCAGGTAGTGTAGATTCAAGTTTGTTTAAATCATGACCCCTGGGGCTAGGGTGGGGCCAGGTTGGCCGACCAAAGTTTTACATAGAAATATATAGAAAAAATCTTTAAAAATCTTCTTCTCAAGAACCACTATGCCAGGAAAGATGAAACTCATGTGGAATCATCCTCAGGTAGTGTAGATTCAAGTTTGCTAAAATCATGACCCCCGGGGCTAGGATGGGGCCAAAATGGCTGACCAAAGTTTTACATAGGAATATATAGGAAAAACTTTTAAAAATCTTCTTCTCAAAAACCTTTGGGCCAGGAAAGACGAAACTTATGTGGAATCATCCTCAGTTAGTGAAGATTCAAGCTTGTTCAAATCATGACCTCTGGGGCTAGTTTTGGGCCCAAAATGGCTGACCAAATTTGTACATAAGGATATATAGGGAAACCTTTTAAAATCTTCTTTTCAAGTACTTTAAAGCCATGATTAGTGATATTTTTCTATTTATATGGAATCATCCTCAGGTAGTGTAGATTGTACATTGTTCAAATCATAACACCCAGGAGGGTTAAAATTCAAGCCCCCCCCCCTCCCCCAGTAAACTTTCAGTTTGATCTGATCTGTGCTTTTTCCTAGTAGATGTGCTCAGGTGAGCGATGTGGCCCTTGGGCCTCTTGTTTGGTAAGTAATCAGCTGTTTTCCTCAAGACCCATACATGCTAAAGTTTCTCTGTTATTTTGCACCACACTTCATATCAGACATCGATAAAAGGATTGAAACAATTGAATTGTAAACCATTTCCCCAGATAGTCTTCGGTTTTGTTGTCTAAAAATATATGGAACGCTGTTTTGATTAAAATTGTAAAGCTTTTCAAAGGCGAGATGATACTGAAATTTGTAATGACATTACTTCAAAGAGCCATAGCGCATTTGATAGTCACTTTCCCCTACTCTTGTAGTGATTTTTAAAATACTTTGTGTAACAAAAATTTTACAATGTTAGTTTATACATGTCTTAAAGCAACTCACACAAAAATAATACTCAATTATTAATAGTTCCCTCATATGATAGATATAAAAATTGTTCAGTTTACATGGAGTATATAGTAAATACTGAGGTACCCCCTTAAACAATGACAAACTGTAGGAAAAGACCACCATTAACCAGAAAAACAACTTCTGAATAATTATATTTGGATATGACTGCACTTCATTACGCTTAGATAATTTTGGTTAAAGGTGGTCTTTATATTGAAAATGTTGAAAATATGTATTTAATTTTTCTTCTAAAATTAATTCAAAATTCAACAATCTGTCTTAATTTTATCTAATTGATAACCAAGACTTCGTGGCATAGTGGTATGATTGCTGGATTGAAGATATAATGATCGTGAGTTCGAGTCTTACAGTGCGTGTAATACCATTTTATTTTATTTTTTCTCGTGTGCATTCCCTATGTTTTCTTTTATTATTTTATAATACATGTATAATGAAAATATAACACTGGTTCACATATGATTACATACATGTGGATTTTGATTTGAAAAGGTACATGTATCTATAAATAGAAACAGGTGATTTCCTTTTAAATACTTGTATAGGCCGAGTCGTCGGTAAGGCAGCTATGGCTCTTTACTTGAGAAGGTTTCAAAATACATTGATTTATATAAATAGTTTTTTTTAAAAATATGTTGTTTTTTTTTCAATTAAAAAATGTTCATTATATTAATAAAAAATATATATAAAGCGACAATTCCTCGTGTTATTTAACTTGATTAGGAATCTAAGGAAGAAATATAATACTTTGAAAAATAAATGAAATTAAGAATTTATTACATCAACATATTTAAGCTAGTTTAGATGGAATATATTTCCAATAATATAATGTCAATCCGTAATTGAATTAACATGGGAGAAATTGTTGATTTAAAAAAAAAATCCAAGACGAATTTTGTTTGATTTCTGACCTTTCTAGCTGGCCAAACATTTGCACCGTTACCAGAGTAACCTCTTTGAATACACAAACGCTGACTCGGTTAGATTTGTGTCTTTCTCATGTAAAAATATGTAGACAGTTCAATTAAAACATCATAAAAAGGTATTTTATTCATTTTTATTGAAAAATAACGTACGGTAAATGAATGTATAAAACTTTTTTGACCGATTGACTATCAATAATCAAGTACATCGGTACCATAGGACCCAAGCATAATACACATTAGGTTAGAATATAGAACATCAGGTCTGCTCTCCTATATAAAAAAAGGTATAACAAAAATTAAGAACACAAAACTTCGCATTCATTCATTCTTTTTAAATAAATTCCAATGTAAACACTTCCATAAAAAAGATTGTTCGACTACATATTCACTAAAAGAGTCCTCTGAATTTTCAGCATCCAATCCAATGATTCTTTTTGACCATTCAAAACATTATGCAGCCAACTAAATTAAAAAAAACATTGAAAATCAAGAAGTATTTCTAAAAAAATATCTTCGTAAATTGAAAAAAGTTGCATGTAGACAACAATGTGTAATAAGTTATGCCAAAAAAAAAAAGTCAAGAAATACCTGAAAAGATAAACCAACACTTAGAAATACACATACAATTGCATATATTTATTCTTAAATGTTGAGGAAAAGTTGAGAAATCATGAAAAAAATAACTTATATGGTCGACAGCTCTTTTAATTATGGATTATAGAAATATCGAAGACCGGGGTTCTACTTCATCGTGACAGTGGCCAGTGTGATATTTTCTATACAAAACTTCGTTACACCATGTTAAAATTACTGAAATGTATAATTTCCTTCATTCAGGTGGTGCAGTACAGGGGCAATCCCCACATGAATTTCAATGTTACATGGGAGGACTACCAGCGAGGTTTTGGGGACGTTCGACATGCTTACTGGCTCGGTAAGAGAGGAATCCAGCTTCACTTTGATTTATGGATTTTATGATGTTATACATCGTATTTGAGAATTTTTCACTAATATAGAAGCGTCACCATATACCAACGTGAAGGGCTTCAAATTGTGACCTTCGCTCGGCACTCAGGGCCATTGAGCAGTGTCAGAGGGATCTTTATCGTTCCAACGCCTGCCGTGACAGGGGGCCCCCGTTTTTAAGGTCCCATCCGACGTACCCGTGACCTTGACTTCGAAGTGCCGGGCACATGAAGAAGGAACAGTTGCTACTTATTTTTTATTGACTTAGGTCAGTCGGGGCCGAAATTCGAACTCACGAACTTCCGATCAAGGAGCGAGCGCTCTACGAACTGGGCTATCTGACGGTTCCCGCTGTACAAGTTCCTACAAATAATTATAGCTCAGTTTTACGGATTAACAAT